CCAAAGCAGAGGGGCCCCGGGCCCCCCCCCCCCCTTTCACCTGCAAAGAACAGCCCAGGGAGGCGGGGGGGGGGAATAAAACAACAATTATTGTAATGAATGAAACACACTAGTGGTTTTTATGATAATTCACTGCCTCGTGGGCGACTTGGCATTTGGCCAGCCTCCTCTAAGTAGTATTTTATTTATGGGCTCCCCGAACATGTCGATACAGGGTGGTTTGCTCTGAGACAATCAAAATTCAATACACGGCGGGAAGGGACGGGGACACCGAGGTGGAGAAACGTGTGCTCCGCCGGCACTGGGGACCAGCTGGATCCATCTTGCCGGGGCGGCCGGACATCTGCCCTCGCCACGCTTTCGGCTGGCACTTGTCAGAGGGGAAGGGATGGAGCAGCTCTGGTTTTGAGGGGCTGCAGCTCTGACGCTGGCTTCTGGCTCGGCTGCCCCATCCCACCGCCTCCCTCTCCCGTTCCCTGCCTCTCCCGCCCCGCCAATTTTTTGGCAGGGCTGAAGAACAAAAGCGGGGCCCTCCTCCCGCGCGCCCATGATGCCGTGTGCCGAAAGCATATGTTTCCCTGGCAACAGCTATTTTGAAGATGTGCGTCGCTAGCTCTCCCAGTGGTACTTGAGGCCTGGGGAGGAGAAGGTCTCTGCCTCGGAGAGGCGGCACTCGAGCCAGAGGCGTGAGCGGAGCAAGGGGAAAAACAAAGGACAAAAGCACAAGTGAGGAGCTGCCGGCGGGTTTCTGCAGGCAGGGCAAGGCGGGCATGGGGACCGCGTCTTTGATGCTCGAAGCATCGCTTTGCCCCCGGAGCTTTTCCCTGCGCGGGGTGCTCAGCTCCCCTGCTGAAGGAGGGATGCTCCTCCCGAGTGGGATGGGTGCACCCCCGCGGGTGCGCTTGGCCTCGTACCTGTGGGCAGCCGTGGTTGGCAGTGCGGGCGATGCTGAAGGCTGCCGCCGGAGGGTCCGGGAACATGATGGTGGTGGGGCTGATGCTGGGACAGGCAAGGGGGTGTTTCTCCATGCGGTGCCTGAGGGGCGATGAAACAGGGGAAAGCCAGCCCACACGGTGCCGTGCCCGTTCCTGGCAAGCCAAGCGCCGCAGGAGGGGGCGATGGCACCAGGGATGCTCAGGTTGTCCCAAGCCCAGCACCCCCCATGTCCCCAACAGCCCCCCGTGGCCATAACTCACTTGTACTCCCCAATGTTGGTCACAACACTGGCCACGGCGACGAGGGCCCCCAGGGGGGTGGCCAGGGGGGCCCCCAGCCCCCGCAGCAGCACCTGGGAGGTGAGGAGCCCATGGTGAGGGGCCAGCAAGCGGTGGGGAGGGAAACCAGCTGCCCTAAACCAGCATCCACAGACACGGGAGCAGGAGCTGACACGAAGCAGCATCCTTCCCGAGTCAAGACGCTCTGGCCCATGCCAGACCCTGCAAACCTCCCCCCTGCCTCCTCCTGTCCCCAGGGCCACCTCTCACCTCCAAGGCCACGTAGCTCAATCCACGGCAGCGAGGAACGAAGCTCCCTCTGCGGATGACGGTGATACACAGGACCATCCCCGCCGGGTCCCGCGTCCTCGGCTGTTTGGGGAGGAGAGCAAGCAGTGGGAGGAGGAAGGGTCAAGGCCACCGAACGCGGGCGCTGGGCGCGCCGACAGCCCAGTGCTGGCAATAAAGCACCGACTGATAATTAAAGCTCACTGTGCCCCGGAGCCTTCCCGGAAAAAAGATCAATATAGTAAATCCTCCTGCATTTAAATATTTAATCGCTCCCCATCTCTGGGCAGGGAAGAGGAAACTCATTTCTGCTGGCCAGAGCATAGGGGAGGCTGATTTGGGGGGGCAGCATTGAGTGAGTTTGCTGGGTCTCAGCTGTACAGGGTCAGCCAAGTCTCCGGGACTGTTAGTTGGGGGGACATGGAGAAATCCCCACCGAGGCGCTTAGGAAGGGGCTTTTCTCTCTAGGGCTGGGTACCTGCCTGCATTAATTAATGCACAGCAGCCTCTGTTTAACGAACGCCCTGCTATATGGCCTGGCCTCGCCTCTCCTTCCCCAGGATGCTGAGGGCGAAAGCACTTCCCCACTTGCAATCCCCATTGATTTTCCTCCACGTTTTTCCACCAGAGAGAGGAAAAAAGCCCAGCACAACGCCTGCCTTGTTCCCCCCTTGTGGAAAGCTCACAAGCCTCTTTGAGCACCTCCCCCGGCTTGCGAAATTGGGGTTTCCCACCGGGATTATGCCGTTACACAAGGCTCCCTTTGCCCACAACCCCCCAGCTACAGCCCTGGGGTGAAAAACCAAAGTTATAAGCAGGAATAAGCAGCAGGATGGAGGGGCAGGGGCTGTCCCTACCAGCACCAGCCGGCAGTGGTGGGGCTGGAAGGGCTGGAGGTGCTGCACCAGCAGCTGGAAGGTCCCCAACGCCTCCTTGGTGGCTTTGTCTGCCACGGTGAGGGTCAGGGCTGGAAGGGAGAGGGTCAGCTGTCAGGACAAGCAGGGCTGGCCACGGGGTTTGGGGAAGGGGAGAGCAGGCGAAGCAGTGGGGAGCAGTGTGGGAGAAGGTCTGGGTGATGAAAGGACGAGGCGATGGGAAGGTTGATGTATTTTCAGCAGCCCCTTCCCCTCGCAGGTCTTGGTGGGGTGGATGGGGGCAGGATTTACACCCGTCCAGGGTTTATATGCACACACACACACACGTGTGCATCCCAAGGAGCCATCGAGAGCAAGTCCCAGACAACCTCAAGAAAGCAAAGCCCATGAGCAACCGGCTCCACTGCAGCTCAGATTCCCACTTAAGAAGGCAGGATTTCCAGCTGATCCATCTAATCCACCTCCCCGGCTCCAGCCCACCCTGCTCAGCTGCCGGGGTGCGATCCTGCCCTGAGCCCTCCCAGCCCCAGGGTCAGCCCGCAGCCCACCGGTGGCTTTTGCAGTCACTTGCCACCACCACGGCATCTGCCCTCTCAGGGCTGCCTGGTCCCCATCCGTCCCCTGGCATGGCAGCATCACCCCCACGGCCGCTGGCACCCCCAGCTCTTCCCTTCATTTAAAGCAAAGCTGCAATTTAGTTGACAAGCACGAGCAGGAGCCTTTTATCAAAAAAAAAAAGGAGCTGATGGAAGGGAAAACCGCCCTCTCTTTATGCTGCCATCAAGACTTGGGCTTCCCTTCCCCCAGCTTAATGATTGTGCCGAGGCACCCGCCTTAACTCCTGCTTGGCCGACCTGGCGATGCCACAGGTCGTGCGTGGCCCCAAGATGAAGACAATGGACCAGACAAGAGCTCGGACCACGCTTTCCTGTGCTCATGCTTTTCAGCAAGCGCTCGATTTATATGGAGATTTCCTTTTCCTCCCAGTCCCTTGTAGAAAGAGCACCAGGGAGAATGTTCTGGGGTCGAGCAAGAGACAAGTGGCTTTCTGTCAGTCGTCACCAATGATAGATCATGCTTGGTGGAAACCGTATTTCTGGGCAAGAAAAAGTGTGGGCTGCACCTGGAAATGACAGCTCCGTTTGCAACAACTGGGAGCTGAACATCTCTGAACATCTGGGGGATGCTGGGAGGCGGATGAGCGGGGCTGGAGGTCCCATCACGTCTCCCAGTACCACCCAGGACAAGTCCAAAGTACATCAAAAGCTCCTCAGTTTCCTTTAGGTCAGGGCCTAATGCGATTAGGCATGACGTGAAGGTTGGCTGCCACGGTTTGTTTTGCAAGGGGCTCGTTATGATCAAATCCCGGCCCCTAACGCCATGAGTTTTATTACAATTAGAGACTTAGCAGTCCTGCGTGGGGAATAATGGCATTACGATGTGGATCCAACCAATACGAGGGGTCGGGGTGGCAGCAGGGGAGGATTTGGGGTGCTCTCCTCTGATACTGGATCCCACAGGATGCTTTGGAGGACACCCAGAGCTGGGCACCGTCAATTGCCCCATCCCTCAGTGCCGTATTTGGGGGCACGTCCCTCCCGGTCCTATCCTGAAGCCACCACAGCCATGAGGGGCTCAGGGCATGGCTCATCCCCATCAAGGCTACCTGGGTGCTGCTCAAGGTCCTTTGGAGCACAGGATCCTGAATATCCCCAAATTAACCCTTTGTGGACCATGCCCTGGTCCCCAGCATCACTGTCCCCACAGTCCTCCCATGCTCTCACCTGCCTGGCTCGCATCTTCAGCATCCATTTCCACCGTCACCTCCTCCTCCCAGGTGGGTGCATGGGTGGGCACTGAGGATGCACGGGTCGCCTCCGGCTTCTGCTCGTCCCCTCTGCTGGTCTTACTGGGAGGAAAATGGAGGCAAGACAGGCTGGTTACTGGTGAGGAAGGGGGATGTGTAGGCAGGGAGCTGGGCCTGGGATAAGCACTGTCCCTGCTCGGCGCAGGGAACAGCGGCCAGCCCACCCTGCCACCACCCTTCACAAAGCTCTGCCCCTGCTCTGGGGGGGCTGTGCTGGGGGCCCAGGCCCAGTTTTACTCCCGGCTGCTGGATCCTGCTGAGCCCCCAGTGATGGGGTTTGCATCCCCTTTTATCCAAAAGGCTATTTCAGACCCCGGAGGCTAATTATCTAGCGGTATTGATGAAGGGACAGGGAGGAGGCTGCTGGGAAAGGAGAGAGAAGATTGAAAGTTAACGACTGCTGTCATTAAACGAGGCACATAACGAGGCTGAGCAATAATTATGGTGGTGTTAGCGGCTACAGGCCCCGGGTAATTCTTCATCCATCCTGGTGCAGGGTCATCACCATCAGGGCTGTTTTGGGGTTGTTCCTCTCACTTTTATCAGTTGATCATCAATTACTCCCAAGCTTGACTAATGATAATAATGCCTCCCCCCCAAACTGGGGGGGCTGATAGATCTTTTGGGGTGTGTCTGCTGCCCAGCGAGACACTTGGCGTTATCCAAGGAGTCCCAAGGCCAAGGCAGAATCCCAGCACTTGGTCACGTGGTGACCCCAAGTCCTCTCCATGCCCAGTCATGGGGTGGAGGGGGACAGTGACGTGGCATCAGGCCAACATGACGCAGAAGTCCCAGCCTTGTCAATGGGCTGCTCTGGATATTAAGATGATAAAGTACCCGGTTCTGCCTCCTCCAGGAAAGCTCTTGCTGGAGCAGAGCCAATGCGGCTATTAGGGAGAGGTTACCGGAGCGCTGCGGTGACAGAGAGCAGATGGTGGCACTTTGCCACCCCATCTCTGTGGGAAAGGAGATGACTTCCAGCTGCAGCACAAGCTCCAGGTGGTGGTGGGACCAAGCAGGTTCATCCTAGAGGTACAAGCCACCTGGGAGGATGCTCCACACTTAGCAAGACCTCTGTCCTCTCCCGTTGCTGGAGAGAATGGTCTAACAGACCCTCAGCCGAGCTGCACCCGTGCCCCATGCTCCTCTCCCATCTCCTGTGTGTCACCTTCCCCACTGGAGAAGCCCACCTGCATCCCGCAGGGATGGAGCCCAGACGGCCAGCTCTGGCAGGTGGGAATTAGCATTGGGCTGGCCCTGTAGTAGAGGGGCTGGAAGAAAATCGGCTCTCCAGTAATGAGCTCTGTGGGGGATTGCTCTACCAGCAACGTGCTCGGAGTCTGAATGAAGCCAGACCTGGGCTGGGGGGGTGGGAGGAGGAGGAGGGTGACAACTGGCTGCTCCGGGCCCCCTTCATTATAGACTTGCCTAAGGACGAGAGAGCATTCAAAAAGAGCTATGAAGTGGGGAAGGGAAGGGGGGGACAACCCACAACAGTGCAACACATGGGGATGTGCTTCCAAAACAAACGAAGAGGCCGGGGGCAGTAGGAACAGGAAGAGCAGAGATGGTTTGATGTCTCCTCCTCACTACAGCCAGCTCCAGACCTGCTGGTGGGGCAGAAGACACCCCAGCTGCAGCGATCCCCTGCCCATGGGGGGATGGCATGCCTTGGGGCAGGACATGGCCTAGCTGGACCAAGAGATGCTCTGCTGATGGCCCTCATCCCTCCCCGCCTGCTCCAGGCAGGCACTTCAGTATGAGGATGCACCAAGTCACCCACCGCTGCGATAAAAGATAAAGATAAAAAGATAAAGACGGCCACCCCCGGGGAGTTATTATACATGATATCTCAGCTATGGTGCTCAGGGACAGCCACCCCGCTGCATGTGACATCCGGGGACCCAGCAAAGGGCTTAGTAGGGCTGTGCCCAGCCCTCGTAACTATTTATTTACCCAGCGTTATAAGTTGTTATCTCCATGGGGTGAGTTATTTCTCAGGGCCAACATCCCCTCAGAGGCAAGGCAGTGGTGCAGGCGCATGGTTCTCGGGGAAGAAAAATACAGTGCGGCACGGCCATGGTTCGCAGGAGCGACATCCCGGGGGTTACTTGTGCGGTGGTTGCGGGGTCTGGCTCTGGGGAAGGTGACGCTTGCCCCCCTGCCACGCAGCCCCACTCTGCTTGGTGCCGAGCCTGGGGGGGCTCAGGTGCAGTTTGGGTAAATAAAGATGGATAAATAAATCACAGAGGTGTAAGAGCAATGTCTGAAAAGATTCAGGATGAGAAGGGAAGAATTATAATTCCCCCTCTCCTTTGAGAAACCCCATTTTTGCATCGCTCCTGACCCTCTAACGGTCCATCTTCATCCCACCGCGACTTAAGTGGGGTGCTGGGGCGAGGAGGGGACCCCCAAAGTCCCACTTGGGCTACTTTCCACACTCCCTCACTTTGGGCTTATCAGCTGAGTCCCTGCTTTCTTTGCAGGCATGTTGCAGAGCCAGAAGGCTTTGCTTGCAGGAACACCCCTTTCCCAGGAGGAGCACCCCATCTGCGCCACCACCATCCCCCAGGCGGGGAGCAGACGGCGCATTCAGCAGCGACCTTGAGTTTCTTCTCTCGGCGCTGAAGAGTGGCAAGGAAGAAGCGAGGAGGCCCTTCCACCCGCCCGCGGTACCCAATGGAGAGGAGAAGCCGGCCAGAGCCTGGCGCTTTGTGCCGTTAATTGCAAACACACCTGCCTCCAGCGCACCAAGGTCATCCCTGCATCACGCCAGTCCAGGAGCAATTTATCTCTGCGCATGAGGAAGTGAAAGGAAGACGCAGAGCAGACCCACGGGTGCCCCTGAAAGCAGGGAGGGGGGGATTTGCTCAGCATTCAGAGGATGAGGAGCAGAGCCAAGCCGCTGCCAGGTCCCCCCGGAGGAGCCCCATCCTCTCCGGGGCAGGGATGAGCCCAAGCCCATTGGGATGCTTGTGCAGGCTTCTCCTGCCACTTGAGGTCTTTCAGATTCGCTCTGCCAAGCTTTTCCCTCCCCGATCCTCTGTACTGAGAGCTGGAAGCGATGCATACAACTATGGAGCACTATGGGATGTCGAGTCTGGGCACGAGCGAGTGGGCACAGCCACGAAGGGCTGGCGCGAGTGGAGGCGCTCCCCTCCTCCCATCCCACTCCTGATTTTGGGAGGTGACGCTCTGGGTGCCAGTGGTTTGAGCTCGGGCTGGCTCCACTGGTGGCACCCAGCCGCTCTGGGGGGGGACCTGCTGCTGCCAGGTCCCCACCGGCACCGTCCACCGACCGCTTCTCCTTCCCGTCTGTAAAAACCCACCTTTTAACTGCAACATGCTACCCTCCTTCAAAAGCAAGCGCCCTGAAAAACAATAACTGATTCCCTTCTGCCTTGGCTCCCTCACTATGGTTACTAAAAGGCCCTTCATGTGTCCTGCATCCCTAATACCACCCTCTCCCCCCCTCCATCACTCCCCCGTTACCATGGCGATGTGGTGATGGAGCAGCACCAGAATGTAAAGAGATGCAACAATCACACGCCACCCTCGTGCTATCATTTAGGACATTGATGTTTAAATCTCCTGAGATTATCTGGGTATAATTGGTTTATGGAAATAGAGACAACTCTTGCGGTGGAGTTACTCAGGCTGCCGGCGCAGAAAGCGGGTCCTTGGCATGGGGGGGTGGGCAAGAGGAGAAGGGGGGATGGAGGGGTGGCAGTGGGGGCTGCTAGCCCACAAGCCAACTGGCTCCTGCTGGGCTGCGGGTGCTAGCCAGCCCCAAAATCCCAACAGATGCTGCCCCTGTGGTGGAGAGCCACATCCCTCCTGCCCAGGGAGCCTCCGGGATGTCCAACACAGCTGGGGCCGGGCATGGTGGAGAAAAGGCACACTGTGCCACACCGACAGACCTTCCCCATGGCTCTCTGGGGTTCCACACCGCCAACCACCTCGTGAGCAACAGTTTGCTCTACAGGCTCGCAGACAAGATGTTTCCAGGCTTTCACGGCCCCGGCAGCTGATTGTCCGAGTGGATGAGCGCAATCGAGGCACCCGCTCGGGTACCCAGCGCTGCCCCAGAGACACCAAACTCTGCAGGGAGCCAGGCGACGGTCTGGAGCCACCGACAGCTGCTTCCTCCTCCCTTCTCCAGGGAAGCAGTGCCAAAGCCGCTCTGCCTCCTGCAAGGGCTCTTTGGGATCCCAAGCTCACCCCTCAGCAACAGCGAGCGGAGCGGCCTCCCTCTTAACACAGACCAAAGCATGACCAGCTAATTGAGTCCCCTGGCACATGCATAATGCACGAGGAGCCAAGTTCTCCTTACCCAAGCATTCTGTTTTATTTATTAAAACACTATTTTATTTATTGTGATATCATCCCCAAACCCAGGCAACATTACCCTGTGGATTCTTTGACATCATTTTATACTTTCAATATTAGGAACGCTTTCTTCCCAATGCCCCGGCGAACCAAAGGGCCCTGTCCTCCGCCTTCCCCCATCTCAGTGGGAAGTCCTGGCTCCTCTCCCCGTGCCGAGCATCCCACAGAGGTGACGCTTGTGCGTATCACCACAAAAAGGGGTTTCCTCCTCCCCAGGGTTTGCAGAGAGTTAGTAATGGGGTGACAACTCCTAAACCCCTGCGTCCCCGTGGTCCCCATTTGCGGATGATGGGTACTCACACGATGACATATGGCCACGGCACCCGGCCCTCCCGCGTAGCTGGCAGGTTGCTGGCACAGTGGAGGGTGACAGTGATGGCTTCCTTCCCCACGCGGGCCACGTGTCCCCTGCCAGCCCTCGGTGGGTGCCCTGGCTCTTCCATCCCGGCGGGGGACTTGGATACCTGCTGGGAGCAAGCAGGAGAGACGTCAAGGCGGGGAGCGGCTGGCAAAGCTGCAGGCACATCCCCATCACCCAGCCTTGTCCCCACAGCCCCAGCTCAACCCTGAGAGCCCATATGGGGGAGATGATGCCCCTGGTACATCTCCATCACCTGAACTTGTCCCCTCAACCCCTGCTTAATGCCAAGAGCCCAGATGGGGGAGAAGGAGCTGGGTAGATGATGCTCCTGGCACATCCCCATCGCTGCTGCCTCTTCCCTGTCCCCAGTGTCCAGCTGTGGATCCACACCATGGATGTCACCATGTCCCAGCGAGTGCCAGGCTCTCTGGGAGGACACCCAGCAGCATGAGAGCATCCTGTGTGGGGTGAAACCAGCCCAGCATTGTCCCATGGGGGCCCGCTACACCACACTCCAATCAGAGACCCCAAGACAGGTCACCAAAATGGGGATTAACCATCTAAAGCACCTCCATTTCCCCCATGCCCCTCTGACCTGCCAGCAACACCCAGCCCCAGCCATCCCCCTGCTTCCCCTTTGCACCAGCCCAGGCATCTCTGCAATTTATAGGGACTTGGTGGGAATTGGGATCTCAGCCCAGTCCAGGGGGGAAAAGGGGAGAGCGGTGGCTCCCCCCACCCAAGCTCATTAATTCCCACCAGCTGATGTGCTAAGGAGCAGCAGAGCCACAAGCTGCCACTCCTGGCTCGTGGGGGGACCCCTCCCCGCACACATCACACCCCATCCAAGTGAGAGACAGTGCCGTCCCCCCTCCCCGGCTGCATTCTCGCTGTGCCACCGTCTTGGGCAGCACATGGCATTAATGGTATTGAATAGGGCTGTGGCTACAAGGTGTTAAAACCTACCCTGCCCTGCTGCAGACCCCAAAAAGCAAACCCTTCCCTGCATCCTTCCAACCTCCTGGGGTGAAAGCAAGAGCTCCAGCCCAGCAACCACCCTGTGGGCTTCTCAAAGCCGCTGCCTGTAAATCCCCTCCAAGCCCTGCAGCAAAAGGGGCTGGTTCATCCTAAGCCCCCTCCCTTGTCTCTCCCAAGGCTGCCCGGCTGCAGTGGTGATGCGGTTGGCAGCAGGGAGGTGACCCGTAACAAACCCAAACCCAAGGATCACTCGTGGGATGGAAACCTGGGTGCTCTGAACGCCAACAGCTCAGAAAAACATTGAAATCCTTTTTTTCTCCCCCTTATTTTTTTGCTGTCAGCCGGAGCTCGGGGCTGGGTGCTGGGGACCAGCTCAGCGTCCATGACAGATGGAAAGCAGCACTGGAGGGGCAGAAACACAAAGTGGGGAAGGATTCCCTGGCCTGCAGAGCAGATGGGGGGCATGGATCCCAGCCCCACCCTGGCTCCATGGCAATTATCCACCTGCCCAGTGATGCTGATGGAGTAGGGAAATTACAGGGTTTCATGACCGTGGCTTTTCTGGAGAGGAAGGGAAAAGGGGGGTGGGAGGGTGGAAGAGCATAAACACTACCCTAAAAAAAAAATAAAACAACATGATTTTGCCCCATCCCAGCATCAGCAAAGAAGGCAAACCGCAGGATGGAGCCGGGGAAAGGAAGTGAAAAGCACAGGCTGGGGTTTAGGACCCCTGGGCTGTATCAACATGCAGCTGCATGACCAAGGGACGGCAAGGGTGGATGAAGGCTTCGAAGAGGCAGGGCACCGGATTCGCGGGCAGGATGCATGCACGGGTGCTCTGCCCGGGGACCACTCTCTCCTTTCAGGAAAGCATCTCTTCAGGCTCCAGCCCTGGAGCTTTAGTGAGTATTCGCACCCCAAACAATCATTAAAAACCCAATCCAGAGGAATTCCAGCTGGCAGAGCTGGGAAGCAACCTTGCTTTGAATTGTACGGGCACCTCTGAGCTCGCTGATGGAGCCCTGCTCTGAGCGACCCCAGGACCTACGCTGTGATGCCGGATCGGTGTCCCACACCCTTATTTACAGCTCCAGACCCCTATTTTGGGCTATTCCCCTATGTTATCCCTATTTTCTTTCACATTCCAGGTAACAGAAACAGGTTTCTTAGCGCACCACTTATATTTACATCTCCCTAAAAAAAACCCCAACCAAACCCAAGTAGGTTTTACCACTAGTAACGCTTACAACAGGATAATTAGTTAATTAGTGAGGGGTTTTAATAGAAGATTCCCAAGTGGTTAAGCTAAGTAAAACTCAGCAGGAGAACAAAATGTTTTAAAAATAGCAGGTGTGAACAATGCCAAGCTTTGCAGGCAACCGGTACCCAAAACCCTCAGCAAGGCTGTGATTAACTACCGAAAAGAAAAAAAATCCCAGCACTATGCAAAGCCAGGAGGAAATTCAGTATTTCTTCCAGAAAGGAGGGTGCCTGCGGTTCCAGGTAGAGCCCACGCTTGTTTTTCAGCTCTCTTACTCAGTGGGAAACAAAACTTCCCCACCCCTGCCAAGCCAAGCACTCCCACCCAGGAGTCTGCAACCTGTAGCTTGCGATGGCAGAGAAAAAAAAAAAAAAAAAGAAAAAATGAAGTTCCCATGTCCCCAGGGGTCTCAGCTGGGGACACCACAGGTTTAAAACATTTTGAGGTCCCTTGGAGCATCACAGACACCTGCAGAGCACCTCACACTACCCTGGTCCCATGCAGCACCTTAACCCCGAGCCACCCTTAAAGCATCCTGAGTGATGAGTATTAATTATTCACCCACAGCGTTGCAGGGAGGTTGATTAACGGGGCCCGAGCTGCCATCATCGTAATTTGTTTTTCTAGCCACTCTTTATCATCTCGAAAGACGCACCGAGGCCCAGGCAGCTCCTCTACAGCAGCGCTGAGCCAAGATGAAATTGCTTCTGGCTGTGGGCTGACAAGGCATAAATAGCCTCAAGAGCCCGGTGTTTAGTTCAGGGAGGACAGCCCGGGCTGGGAGCCAGCAGGGACGTCCAGGCACGGCACTGTGGGGGCTCCTCTAGCCCGGCTTGGCCCCTGCCCCCAGCTGGAAGAGCCTGGCTGCAGGTTCCCCCCCGGCAGAAGGTCGGTGCTTTGCAGGGATGCTCCTTGAATTTCAGTTTTCTCCAGTACGATGGACAGCTCAAGAGGGGAGGTAAGCACCTGGGGGTGAACACCTGCAGCATTCGCCTCCTTGACCCCCAGCATAGCCCTGCCAGCGCTCCCTGGGACGATGCACTTCTGCAGGAGAAGCCACCATCCCCTGCCCTACCATGGAAGGACCAGGACCCTCCTGGCCCTTGCACAGCGAGCCCCATGAGCCCCCAGCCCCGGCTAAAGCCCGGAGCAGTCCTGGCACAGGACCGGGGATCCCTTCCTCTATGGTGGGAACGCTCACAGCCCTGAGCTCCTCCCGGCCCCTGGCAATTTATGAGCGGCTGTTAGGAACGTGTCAGCTTTATCCTCCTCCTGAGACTTCATAAAATAATAGTAGGCTCCACGAGCGAAGATAGACTGGGCCTGGTGTGAGTTTTCGTACATGATGTCTCCCCAGGCTCCTTTCAAGCCTCCTTACGGCAGCTAAACACCAGGCAAGCCGCTTCCCCTCCCCTGGCAGCTGACAGGATGGGAAAAAAAAGAAAAAAGTGCTACTAGGCTTTAAACAAGCAGCAGGATGAGCCCATGGGTTACACCTCCAGCTTTGTGCCATGGGGGGCTCTGAACACAAGGAAGGGTTGGGGCATGGCCAGGACGTCCTGGAGCCAGGCCAGCCTGGGACGTCCTAGCAGATCCAGCCACCTCTCAGGGCTGGACCTCAGGGATTTGGGTTGGAAGAGCATGCCAGGAGCCCCCAGGACACTGCAGGGCATCTTCTGATAAGGGGGGTGAGCAGCCAGCTTATGCCCAATCGGCTTCCATCACGGGCAGTGAACAAGCATGCACCCCCAGGCACGGGGGGACTGGGATGGGGATGGGATTTTACGTGTCATCAGGCAGCAAAATGGGGTGAAATACGGGCTTACAGATCACAAGCAGCCCAGCAAGGACTTGGTGGCTGATGGGCGAGTGGATGCAGCCACTTCGCTCAGACCAGCCTTCTCCCAGCGTGCTGTGCAAGGGAATATTTAGCACCCTAAATTCAGGGTTTTCAAGGGGTGGGAGATGCGTTACCTCCCACCTGCACCATGCCCTGCTGCCCCCATGTCCCCTGGCTCCGCGTCGGTCACCGCCAGCCCAGGGTGTTAGGGTACGGCACGACATCCCACATCCTTACGGGTTTGCACCCACCCCGCCCCAAGCATCATGGCTCCTCGTCTGCCTGCCCCGCTCTCCAAAGCAACCGGAGCCTCGGTGCTAATCAGATCTGAGGCTGTGGAATCTCATTTGAGGCTCTATTAATGCATAGCTGGCACGACACAGGCCCCGGCCTGTCTCCAATGAGCAAAACAAGGAAAGCAATCTAGCCGGGAAAAATGCATCACCCGGAACAAGCTCGGGGGAGATGGCCAAACGCAATTACAGTTAAAAGGAAGATTAAAACAGTATCAGCACTCTTCTTCCTCCAACCCCTGGTCCCACCCGTGGGAGAGGAGCACCAAGGGGCATCCCCAGCACCGTGGGCCTTCAAGCAGGGCTGGGAGCTGGTGTGTGCGGGATGCAATGGCAGCAGGATGCTGCCTCATCAAAGCAAAGGGCTTTTGCACGATGCCACAAGCCCCCAGCATCGGTGGAAGGCTCATCCATGGTTTGCTGACGCAGCACGGGGAGGTGTCACCCCCAGGGTCCGGCTGCAGAGGCTTTCTCCCTCTTTGCTCAGATACCGCTGAGGTTTTGCTCCCTGGTGCTTTGGAGCTGCTTGTCATGGGATGGGAGGATACAGGCCCCCCTGTAACGACACCTGCAATTAGCATCTGACAGAGAAGCCCTTGTCCTTGAAAAACAGCCTGGAGGATGAGACTGAGGTGGGCACGCTAGGCAAGGAACAGCCATCAGCTTCCCCAGTGAAAGGAGCCGGCACGCACACAGTTTCCATTTCTAGGAGCTAGCGAGCATATCCTCCC